GAGCCCCAGCAGTGCCCAGGAGCCAGCTGGATGTAATTCCATTCCCCAGCACTCTGGGCCCAGCCATCCAGCCCATCTTCACCCAGCAAAGAGAGCACCTGGGCAAGTCATGAGCAGCCACTTTCTCCAGGAGATGCTGCAGCAAACAGTGACACAGGCTGTACTACAGTCCAGACAGACACATCTACACCACCTCCTCATCCACAAAGCAGGTCACCCTGCCATGGAAGGAGATGGGGCTGGTCAAGCAGGACCTGCCTTTCCTAAATCCATGCTGGCTGGGCCTGATCCCCTGGTTGTCCTGTATGTGCTGCATGATCACAATCAGGATGATCTACTCCACTCTGGTACCAAGGTCAGGCTGACAGGCTGGTAGTTTCCTGGATCCTCCTTCCAGCCCTTTGTGTGGATGGGCATCACATTTGCTAACATCCAGCCAACTGGGACCTCCTTGGTTTTCCAAGACTGCTGGGAAATTCATGCTGGGCAGTGACTCAGTGATCACTTCTGCTGCTCCCTCAGTACCACTGCATGGAGCCCAACTGGCCCCACAGACTTTTGTGGGTAAGGCTGCATTCTGTACAGTACATTTCAGATATTAAATAAATCTGAAACACCTGGCATGACAACGCACCTCATAACAACTGTGATTATTAAAATTTTTAAGAATAAGTTCTGCTAGTAAAAACATCATCGATTTTACATGTCATACTTCAAAATGTATAAGCAAAACAGCAACAAGTTCCTCCAATTCTGAGCAAATGAAGAGCTGTCATTCTTCAAAGAGCAAAGGAAGAAGAAATTTTTACAGAATCTTATCCAATAAGAATGCCATGTGATAATGAACAAAGGTCAACTGTAGAATAGCTTGCTGAGTTATTTTTTATTTCACAAGTCTAAACCCTCCTCCTGCTTTTCAGCTGCCTTGAAATTAAACTGCTAGTTTCAGGAACATCTAAATAGATTTCCTTCTGTTTTCCTAAGAAATAGAATCTTATAATAAACAAACATACAGGAGGGCAAAAGGACATTTTGAGTAAGATTTTAACCAAAACATGTTTTTCCTATAAAAATATTATGATGTCCTTCAAATATATAAAACATAGCACAGGAAAACTGTGAAGAAGCCCAAAACCTCTGAAGATATGAATGCATTTTTATAAATACTACAAAAATATGTTTATGTTATTTTTCACAGTTATTATGTCAATATTTAAGCTCTCTGGCTTGCACATGCATCTTCACAAAAGTTCTTCTTCACAATTTACATGCAACAGTTGCTCTCCACAAAAGCCAAACCCAGTAAGGGCAGAAAACTCTTCCCTAAATAAACAGCAAAAAGACACTAACTTCTGGAAAAATGGGATTAATTTGGGATGGAAGCTCCTCATTTCATATGCAAAAAACCCTAGTTCTAGAATCAATCTAGTAATAACAGACAAAACACTTTGCCTGTGTAAATGCCGTATTTGCAGGCTCTCAGTTTCTCCTTGTCTATTTCAATTATGTAATACAGAGAAAATAACAATATTTTAAAAGCCAAAATTTTAAGATACAAACTATTTCCTGCAGGGTCTGATCAGATCAGACTAGATCTGATCTCAACACATCAGATCAGATGCAACAGGCAAATTTATAGGAAGTCATAATGACATTTAGGTCCTGAGTAGTTTTATTACCACTGGAGTTTGTTTCTGTTTCCAGTGATGTCAGTAAGAGGTCTGCCTGATTAAATGTGCACAGACACATTTCGTGGTAGATTACACAGGTGCATGTAGCTATCATGAGAAGATCCCATTTAATCCATGTATGTTTAATGATGGAAAATTACATTGTAAGTAGCTTTCAACTGTTTTCTACTTCTATTTTCAAGATTGTTATTATTCAAACTTGTGTATTTTTTTTTTTCTTGTGATTTCTTCTTTCTTGGGGCAGCTGGCACTTCACTAAGGCAAATCAGCACACTTAGGGAAATTAAAGTTTTCTAAATTTTGTAATTATTATTGTATCAATTGCTTACAACTACAGTGTACGTTTAAAGTACATTCACACAGAAAGCTGGATGTTCCTCCTTGCTGCTTTAGCAATTGAAAAGAGAGGGAGAAAACTAAGGCTAGGTATCCAACTCTTTCAAGATCTTTGTAAGGAGCACTGTTTCTGAAAGCAAGGTATTTTCATTTTTAATAGTTATGAGCTATTGGTATGGAGCACACAAGTGCTTTCAAAAGGAGCGTAGGTGACAGCAGTACTTAAAGGATACCAAGGCTACTTCAATTACATAAGTATTGAATCATCAGTTGCACAATGCTTTTTTTGAAGCATAAACACACTTGATTTTTTATTAAGACCATGTTGAAGTTATCAATCTAAAATTCAAAAAACCTTTCCACCCACAAAGAACACTTTTTTGGCTGATGAACAGTACATAATGTTACAATTTTGTAGAAACCCTAAATGAAAATTTGGAAAATGTCTAAAACAGGAACTCATTAACAAGCTTATTACTTGTGCCATGTGATAACCTAATCACCTAATAAGATTTAGAAAAGGGATTAATGGATCCTCCAGTTGATGTATGGATGATGTGCATTTATTCATACACGAGAGGACAGGAACTTTTTTTTGTGCTTTGAAAGGAGAACAAATTTAATCTGTAATGGCTTATACAGCTATGAGAGTGCGGAAAACTTTCAGAATTCATTAAAATAGTGTACTTTTTGGAATCTTTAATGAAATGCACAGAAAATTCCATATATTATATACTATAGGTCAGTAGCAATATCCGTTAATTAGTTACTGAAAACTGTAAGCCTTAAATTGTCAGTTCAAACCATCATCCAAAATCTAGAAACAACTTTATGACATTAGGCATTTAGATATCAGTACAATACAGATTTGGCCTGTAAGGAATATATATTCTGCTTTAGCTGATAAAAATGCCCTTATAAAATGCCCTTATAAAACTGTGTCTGCAAAATAGTGCAACTGACTAAATTTCATTTGATAAACCTGTCTTGGAGCCATTCCTTTGAGTGAAAAAAGAAAATGTGATATGTATAGGTTTGGTTAAGCAATAACAATTTGGGAGTCATACTCAAAAAGCATGTTATGATGTAAATTTTCAGATCATTTTAAGTCAGGATGTAACTACTATTAGTAAACAAACATTAATTTAACATCACCATTTTTCTTTTATTACAGGAGTACATGGTGAAGCTTAATGTAAGTTTTGCAAATGTGTTCTTTGGTCTTCCTGCGTATGACATGAGTATAAATAAGAATAATATCCAGCTCTCATATAACATTTTTTAGAAGCTTTCAAATATGACTATTTTGCAAAAATGAAAAAAAAGGGAATTACAAATTTAACTCGTTTAGTTATGATAGACAAAAATTTTAAAAAATCTTATTCTTCCATCTCCTATTTCAATGTAATGTATGAATAAAACTGCCTTTACCTGAAATTCCTTACAATATTATTACAATCATGTAGCACATTATTCATTCAGTTTTTGTTCTAATAAAAGCAACCATATAATGGTGACTAGAGAAAAGAAAATGTGCTAACAATTTGATGGCTGTCATAGAAGGTGAGGAGGAACAACCACCTTGTCCAATATTGCTTTGAGAGTCTACCCTAATACCAACAGAAGTGGTTACATATTACTAAATACACATTTAATTTTGAGGTTTTTTCTTTCTGCCAAACCCGACATATTCACAAGTATGAAAAACTGCCCTTTGACAAAACTATTTGTTCTGATCATGGTAACTGCATGCCTCTCTAACTTGCAAAACCCAGTAAAGTTTATACCTTTGGGTTCACTGATAAAAATGCCATCTTTACAAACAAAACAACATTCTCATTTCACATAAGCTCTACTGAAAAGCCTGCCTTAAGCTTCCACAGAATTTTTGTATCCAAAACACTATGCAGTTTAATTTTAAAATTATTTACAATCTATACATACAGCCATTTCTACATTTTCTTTCAGCAAGAACTAAAACCACTGATAGTACAAACTTCTTCAATTGCCAGGGAAAGAAAAGATCCTTCAAAATTACTGAACTCAACATCAAAAGATGTGCAATCAAACATGATGTAGAAGGCCATTAGTGGGTCCTCTCTTCTACTGAATTTCTAATGTGAACTTGGTGAATTTAACATAGACCAGTTTATAATGTTGCTTCCATTTCTTCATCTTCCTTGTGTATTTCAAACACATTCTCTCATTATACACATCTTTAAGCTCCAGATACCTTGAGAGATATATGTCTTTTTCACAGTTAAGCTATCTGAATACACATTTCTTATGTAAATCTCCTGACATTATTACATATCCAGGTTAGTTGGGGATGACCAGAGAAAAAGCTGAAGTGCTGCACCAGCTGAAGTGCTGCACAATCTAATTCACACAAAATCCAGTTGGTCATCCCTCTTTTTCTTCCTACACATGTAGACAGGCATGGACATTTAGAAACCATCAAGTCTGCTAACTGTTTCAGGAATTAATTTGTGGGGGGAAGGAGGGTTGGAAATAATATATGATGCAGCAACACACACAATTGCAATACAATCAGTAGCATCACTTAAGAGTAATGTGTAAGAAACTATATTCTCCTAGGAGCAAAAGTGGAATACAGAGGAGCCGTATCTTTGATTGCTGCTCATTAAACAATTGGTTAAATCCCTGACTATGTAGTATTCCATAAGGCACAAAGCATCTGCCTCTCTAAAGTCATTGGTTCAAGAACTTACGTCAAGAGAAAAAGGTCAAGTAGATTCTACTGTTTCTGTGCAAAAGAAGTTATTTCACCACATGCAGCAGCTAAAGAGTTAATAAACCAAATCTTCTTAACAACCTGTCTCTCAGAATGAAATGACTACATTAGTTCTTTAGCATAGAATCGATTTCAGGTAATTAAGTTTTGTCTCATAAAGCATTAGAAATAGAATGGCTTCACTTCCCACTGCCCACATTCAAACAATTTGTACTCACCCTCTGGGTGATGCTTTTTCCCTCTTTGACTTGCACTGCCAATCCAAGATCAGACAGTCTGCAATTCCCATTGTCATCCAGGAGGACATTCTCTGGTTTCATATCCCGGTACACAATTTTGATGGAATGGAGATGCAGAATCCCACAGGTGATCTGAGCTGAGTAAAAGATGATCCTTTTCATTTCCAAACCCCTTTCTCCCACATTGTAGATGTGATACTTCAGATCCCCTCCATTCATGAGGCTCATAACAAGACACAGATGGGTTTTGGTCTCATAGGCATAAGCTAGTGTGACTATGAAAGGGCTATTGACCTTCTCCAGGATCTCTTTCTCCAGCAGTGCCATCTTCTCTCCGCTTTTCTTTTTCAACCTTTTCTTATCCAGTTTCTTGCAGGCATACATCTTGCCAGTATTTTTGACCTGGATGGCACAAACCTAGAGAAGACGCACATGGAAAGCTAATGAAGGAATTTTACACAGAGACTGGAATATCAAAGGTAGTAACAGGCAGGAACTGGGGAATAATTGATGCCTATTAGTAGCTGCTGATGGTAACTTCTATGAAGAGTATATTAGTACAGAAAACAAGAAAAAACAAGTGCACAATCAGTTCTGTTTGGACCAGCAGTTTATCGTGGCCCTCATGCAAAGTTCTCGAGGATGCCATTAGTAGACATGTATTAGCAAATAAAAGGAACAAGGACAAGAACAAAAATCTGTAACCATGAGAATAAGCAGCATATACAGATTATGTCTGTACAGTTACACTCACTTGACTCTTAAAAAACCTCCATACTGTAGTTTGGAATAGATACCGATGTGTGCTTTTCCCTAAACTGCAGCTAGGAATTATCTGGGAGTGTGTGAGATGGCACAGGCTAATATGATGTCAAGGAGCAGACTTAATAGTTAACTACATGAACATTCATGCAAGTTTTTGTAAAGAAGCCTGCTTTTCTACTAGCATAGATACAGAATACAAAAATGTTAAAGTAGCTTTTTACTAACAAAAGCCTCTATCACAGTATAAATAACTCAGCCTGATTTCTGGAAAATGGGCAATCTGAAGGGGCACATTTTACCAATCTTCATACAGTAGCTTAATCCACTGCTCTTTGCAAACCCACTTGCTAGTCTTAAAAGGGGAGAGATGACTCACATCCTTAAAAGTGCAAGCTCTTACCTCTCCAAAGCCACCTTTGCCCAACACTCGGAACTCAGAGAAGTATTTATCAGTTACTGGCTGCTTCTCAAACACTTTCCATTGGATGAATTTGTCATAAAAGGGACTGTTCTGGAAATCCTGGAAGGGCTTGTCTTTAAAGAAGACTTTGGTTTCCTCCTTGGCCAGGTGCATGATGTTCTCATAGTCTTTTGCAGTAGCTGCTTTGCACTTGCTGACCAAGTCAGAGCTCATGAAAGACAGATAGTTTTTGGCGCCTTCCTTAAGAAAATTGGTGACAATATTCTCCATGGTACTGCTCTTGAGATTGTCCTCTGCCAGCTCCCAGTTTGACACCTCATCCAGGAAGTCCCTAGCTACCAAGTATTCTGGCACTGTCTCTAAGAAGTCTCTGAAGAATTTCTTGCCAATGGGCTGCTGTTCACAGATGCTGTCATAATCACCAGCAATGGATTCTCTATGCTCTTTGCACTCCTCAACCTTGGGCAGTGAGAGGCTCCTACGCCTCTTTTGCATTTCCTTGGTGTCTCCTTCTCCACTCTTCCTCGCCTGGAGGTAGGCAGTGTTGGCAATCAGGTTGTCGAGCCCCCCCATGTCACACATCTTGGCAAGCCCTCGGGGTGGCAGAGCCTGGTTCAGAAAAAATGAATAACTGGCCCAGGAGCTGTGCTGTAGCTGCACTGCACTTCTCCCTGCTAGTGTGTGAGGGCTTCTGAAAAACACCAGAGAAACGAACTGCTTTTGCATTAAATACCTCTCAAGGATTTTCACTAAGTACCTTTAGGTACAGGCACCATTTGTGGAAAGTGACTGGTAAGAGGTTTCTCTGTAAGAAGCTTTGAGTTTGCTATGTATAGCTGAGGGATGACACCCTAGACAAACCTTCCCACTGGCAGTACCAAACGCACGTGGTTCAGCCGGTGTTTTTCAGAATGGGCCCTGATAATCTTTAAATGTAGCAAGATTCCCTCTACATGCACTGGCCCTGGCTGCTGGGAACATGCAGAGATGCACAGCTGCAGTATGTGCACTCTCTCCAACTCGGGCACTTTGGCCACAGTCAGCAGGACAGGCCTGGATGTCCCCCAGTCGACATCGAACACCAGCAGACTAACAACTGGTTTTATGAAAAGCTGCCATGCCTGAACACCTTGACACAGATGAACTACACAATTCAGTGCTTTGAGCATTCACACCTCCAAAGCTCAAGTTATATTCAACATCAGTGACTGAGCCCCACAGACAGTTCATGCACACCCTGCTGCCTCGCATGGCTCCGTCTGAGCAGATTACATGGAGAGGCTAAGAACTGACACTGGTCTAAAAATAATGATCCTTATATATGAAACAACACAGCTCTGACTTCATCCTCTACCCACAGAAAAATGAAAAACTCTTCAAATGAGCAGCCAAATCTTGCCAAGACATTTCCATATGTTGTTTTGGCCTCACTTTATTTTCCCTGCTGAGCTTTATGACAGAAAGTGGTTGGATAAGAAGGTGGCAACAGCATATAGCTAAGGTGACATCAACAAAGGGACAAAGCTGATTATAAGCAAGTGAAGGCAAATTCCACCTGCACTTGCTGGCTGCCTACCAGGAGGCATTTTTTTCTCTTCAAAAGAATAAAAATTATGTGTGGCACTCACTAGGCTAAGCTCCCTTCTGCTCTGGGGTCAGGTGGTTTGGCTGTTAAAACTTTCCTTAAATATAAGGAAGATATTATGAGAACAAGAAAAGAAGTAACACTGGGGTCAAGCTGTATTCTTGAGGTCAAGGTCAAGTTTCTTTTTTCTTTTTTCACTATCTTAAAGCAAGCTGAAGAGCTGAATCACAAAAACTAAACATCAAGGGTAATAACAGGCACCTTTAAGATTCCCTATAATAATAAGTGTTAACCCCTTCTTGGCTGCTTTTTGCTACTCTACAACCATGCAGTGTTTCATTTTTACAAGCTTAATCCTGTCCACATTGAATCCATTTGACATAAAACTCGTGCTTGCACTCTACAGAATTGCCTTGGAGGTGTGTTTCTCTAGGAGTGATGGAGAGGGCCATCCATTGCTAAGTGCTGCGTGTGCAAGAGAACCGGGGGAATTGCAAGGCAGACATTGAAAGCCTGGCCAGTTCTGCCAGGTGCGAGCAAGCCCAGGGTGGGAGGTTATGTAAAGGGCTCACTGGAGCAGCCAACAGCACGGGCAACACTGCAAAGAGCCAACGGGGGAAATGTGGAATTCTGCTGGTGGCTGTCCTGAAAATGGGGCCTTAAGCAACACATTCCTGTAATACCCTGGGTAGAGAAAGGCATGAAAGGAGGTACCAAAGCCTTAACAAAGGTAACAAAGCCTTTCAGCTTTTTTTTTTTTTTTTTTAATAAAGCTTTTAATTTCCTAAAATTCAGTAGGGTCTTTTTTTATGTTTGGCCAGAATATCCACCACAGCTCAAAGAGCAGCAGGACAAATGGCTGGTAGCTGGGGCCCTAAGGCTGAACTCAAGCTTATTCCAGCTATTGGTATATTCATGCCTAAGCAGATCAAGAAAATACCTATGTTTATGGCACCTGCATAAGACAGACACATTTACAGCTTCAAAGATAATTCTATTCAATTAATTAGAATTTCCCAGTTTCTATGGAGGATAGTTTTTCTCTAAAATAACATAACTCCATTAAAAACAGTATCAAACAATATGATTATTCAACATATACTCATTACTCTTTTTGAGTATATACTTTTGAGATTTGCTTGCTGACTTACCCAAATCTGCTCAGCGTTTATTAAACACTGGAGAAAACTAGATCAGCATTAATCTATTAGTTGATAATGGCTATTTAAGGTAGTGTTACTTGCTCATAGAACAGTACATTTGAGTGAGAAGCAAAAAAAGTATTTATTTTGCATATACAAGAGATGAATAATTACAGAACTGAACACGGGGATGTACTGGGATGTACTAACAACCATGCTAATGAGGCATATCAGGGTATGATTTAGAAAAATTCTCTGGCATAGAGCTCAAAGACTGGGACTTGGGCTAATCACTAAATCACGGAGAAAATATGCAGGATTTAAAATTAAAAAAACCTTATGTTCTCAATCAACCTTAATTACTGGTCAACAAGATACTTATAATATGCAGATAGATACACAAAAAGATCAGCTAGTTTGTTTTCAACATTAACTCTCCTAATACCTCATTTTTGTCAACACCCCTTTGAGCTGACACTACGGAAAAACTCTTCCACAACTGTAATTCTCAGCTACCCTTGCCATGCATGTGACATGAGCTAAAAGCAGGGCTTGGTACTTTCCATATTCACCTATAAACCAAATAAAAATGAATAAAGTCCTCTGATGAGACTAGATGGCATTTCCAGAGGTCACAGGATGGAGCCTCTGTCCAAATGTGGACAGAGAAAACAGGTGGTAGGTAAGATACAGTTTGACTGTGACAGCTTAAAATTTATTTTCATGTCCATTCCGACTTCTTTTTTCTGCAAGAATTTTGGGACTACTTTTACACAAAGAGAAATATTCCACAACAATGTAAATGCTACAGGCACTTCATTACTACTGTTAACATATTTTACATCTGTTTTGAGTTTTAAGACAGACATCATCTGGCATAATAACAACTGATGTGATACAGTGTAACAGTGACTCGGGATTTTTTTTATCTCAGTGTGTAATTAAACAAAAGCCACATTTAAAAATCACAACACCTTAAAAACCAAGATTACAATATTAAACAAAACCACAGTAAACTCTGCAATATGCTTGATGACACAAAGATTGGAACTAGTTTATACAGTGAAGATAAACCTCTTTAAATGAACTTAGAATTAGATAGAAATATATCTACTGAGAAACACATTAAACATTAAAGATGATAATTTGGAAGTAAACAATGCATAATATAGTGCTTCAATTTCACCCATATTGATTGACTATTTTATTAAGCCTGAATTTGTTACAGATTGAAAGCAATAATTCTACCTCTCTGTTACATATATTTTAAAAATCCCACAGTGTATGTTCAGATTCATAGTAATTTGGATACTTAAGGAAAAGACTAAGTCACAGGCAAGCACTTACACAGCTGTAAGAAAAATTTCAAAGATTATATATTCAGGATTTCCACAAAAATAAAAAAATGCTTCCAAAACACTATGAGCAATAAAAAGATGATAATAAAGAAATTTCTATTAACTGAATTTTCCTGAAATTACAATTTACCATTTTCCCCTAGATTTAATTAGTGCTTCCTTTCCTTGGGTTATTTAAATTATCACCTTTTTTTGCTTCTTATATTAATCAGCTAACCTGCATGATTGTCTACACCTCTAGATAACTGATATCAAATACATGCATTTGTACAAAAAAATCTTTGGATTAAAAATACATGTCTCCATGGTCACTAACAGAAATTCAAATAAAACAGTCATTAACATGGTAACATTTTAATGTTATGGTTGTAGAAATCATGTACAGAATATAACAGAGCAACAGATTTAGAGATACAACAAAACGAAAGTCATAAAGAAAACCTAAATTAGAAATGTTTAATACAGTGTGATGAGAAAAGCACATGACAAATGTTTTACACACTGTTAATTTTAGATTAAAACTCAGAATACTTTCTTAAAAAGCACATTGACTGTGATTTTGCATACAATGGTACATAGGAAACGTTTTCTTTATCCTTGCAGTAAACTATGCAGTGTATCAGACCAGGTAAGGTGATCCTTTAAATTTAATTAATTTATCAATGGAAAAAGATTAAATGCTCTAAGTTTCTGTGCTCTGATCCAGACAACACTCACATCATAGCAGATAACATTTGTTGAAGTAGCATCTCCTGTTTGAATTGTGGAACCCCTGCAGTGAGCCTGACCATGGACTGCACCTTGAGCAGCCAGAGGCCTGCACCAAACTCACTCTGGTCTTGGAGCAGATAAACCAAGTGAGTCATGTCCTGATGGACTCATTCTGTTCTGCATGAGCATAGAGCATAACACACACACCATTCCAATAACTGCAACGGAAAGAAATCCTTCCAGTTTTTATTTGCCTATTCTCTGGACTACCCAGTCCTGCTGGCAGAGGGGACAGCGATTATTCTGTTTCACCCACAAGGACATGCAGCAATTGTGGAAGGAATGATTGCATTCTCCCCAAACCACTGAAAGAGAAGAAAGAACATGTTCCAGTCACACTCAGCTGTCCAATTGACTCCTACAGCAAGGTTCAAACTATCACTCTCAAATATTTATAACCACTGGAAACTTCAGAGACAAAACAGGTCATCACTGATTTATCCACAGAGAATAGCTTATAATGATCATCCTGATGACAGTGAGTTTCACCATCAAGCCTTTTACTTCCTTCCAAATACTAAAAAAAGAAATGCATGTATTCTCACCTTCTGGTATAAAGTGACAGGGTTTTGTGACTGTATAAACACATTTAGGGACGTGTTCTGCCCAGGAAAGAAGTGTAACTATTTAAGTATTTCCCTTAATCTTCCCCAGTACCAAAATAAAGCCAATGCACTATTGATTCACTATCACACCAGAGCATATCACCAAATTCTCATATGAATGAATGCACTGTTTGAATTTAAATGTATGATAGCAAGGAGGCACATGTGACACAGTATATAGTCTTAAAATGGGACCTTACAACAGCAGTTATTCGCAGGCTACAGTTGTTCCAACACTACAAAAATTGCTATCTGTTATCCATTTACTCCTGAATAATATTTTAAAATGTAGTTACTTTGCTTTTTTTCCTTATTAGCTCACATTTTCCTCACAAGAGCACAAGGGTACTAATCAAAGGAGTGCTGTAAATTATACTTTTTCCTGTCTATCTTAAATGCTTAGCAAGCCAATTAAGATATCTTGAACATGAAAACCCTATTCCCTATTAAAACTATCATCAAAAAACCCCAGCGGTTTTTTTGAGACAATACACTTCAAAATGCAAAGCTCAACAGTATGGAAAGGTTTACCACTGCTTTAAAAGTTGTCATAAAGGTTTAAAGCAAATTCTTTGAGATAATTTTCACTATTTCCAATTCAAACACACAGAATTAAGACCTTCTTTTGCATACATTGGCATTGAAAGTATGATTATCTTTAAACTGAAGTGATTCCACTTTTGAAAATGAAAATTGAACAACCAAGCCATTGCCTCCATTATCTCTGAATTAAGAGTGGGAAAAATACCACTTTCTAACTCAGACACACATTTATTTCACAACAGGATTTTTACTTGTACTTCCATTCTGCTTTCTGGCATGCGCCTCTGAAGAAAAAAGCTTTTTCCTATCCACTTCAAAAATGTACATTATGATCTCAAATATGCTCACAATGAAAGAAACCTAAACCTCTTTGTTGTGTATGTGTTGACAGGAAATTGGAAGCTGTTTTGTTTTACAGCACAGCTGACATGAAAACTGATTTTTTTACTGCTCAAAAATAAAGTATTAGTAACATAGAAAAATGATACAATGTAGAACAAAACACCAGTTTACTTTTGAGCATTAATAAAATCAGTATTCCCTTCAAACTTTAAAATGCACCATACTGAGAGAAGCTTCAATTGAAAAACAAGCGAATGAAGTCACTACATACCAACACAATCTTCTTGTTTGTTTTCAGCTTGACATCTAAGACAGGCATCTAAAAGTAAACAAGAACAAACTCAATTTGATTCTCAGGATTCCATCTTAAGAATAGGTTTGTCAGAGGAAAATATAAACCCTAATACAAATTTACAGAGGTAAAAATCTCAAGTTTTGCTGTCTAGTTCAGCCCTTTAACATTAAATAGCCCCCTTAAATTCTAAAACTGTGCAAATTACAATGAAATATCTATCTGAAAGAGATCAGAAGGACTCTGAACTTTCCAGCATGTTTTGTTTATTTTACATTGCTTTGGTATTTTCATAACTTTTGCTGAAAAAAAGCCTTCTCCATTTTGTAGATATGAAAGCCCACAGATTTGTGCCAAGGCACTCAGGCATATTAAGACCAGAGCAAGCACAAAGCCAAACCCTAATTACAGGACTTTGTTTTTCAGATGTCAGCATTTCCTTTTAAGGAAGTCATTCACAATTTTGATTTTTCTAGGCTGTGCATCTCTCACCACAACTCCCACCACCTATTACTCTTTATAGTAGCCTCCCTTGACAAGTACCTGCATCTAATTTTCACAGGAGTCACACACATACAAATATAGTGGTACATTTGATAATATATGTTAATAAATACAGAACAATATCTAATTAAAAATATTTATCATCTTTATGCACTACAGTCAGTGAATTTAGGATTGGATGGCAGCTCCAGGACTCAATAAGATACAAGAGTGACAACTTCCAGGCTTCCCACTGTGCCACACAATGCAGTGGAAAAACACCTTTGCTTCTCCTTTGCCCCAACATGGGCTGCCACAGACACACGTGCACGGATCATGCACAAGAGAAAGTGTTCAACTGTTACATGAGCAAACACATCTTTATCTCTTCCAAAGAAACATGGACACTTAAACAAGTGTCCTGCAGGTTGAATCTGGCTTACATGTCACTGGTTGGACCATATTCTCCCAAAAGACAAAGCTATAATGTGCTACAGGAATTTAGATTTGAGTATTTTTGCAGTCTCTGCCAGATAATGCCAGTATTTGTATTTTAGGTTGATCTGCCCAGACATTCCTCCTTTTCTCAGGTAATAGAGAAAAAAGAAGAGAAAACTCTAAAACAGCTGCCCTTTCTTCATTGAGACAAAAGCAAAACTTTTGTGTTGTCTGTCCCTAAAATTTATATTTCAACAACAGTTAGGGGCTAAGGTGCTGGGAAGATTCAGCCAAAGTGCTTCAACTTGTATCATGGTGTGTGGGAGCCCTCTGATCTGGGGTCACAGCAGAAACTCACAATAAATCAGCTGCCCTACTGAGCCCTAGAGCTGCAGTTTCAGACAGAAGCAGCACAGAGAGCCAAGGACAGAAATCACTGCCACCACACCAAAGTAACCTGTCCCCACTCCTACATCATAACCCCACAGATGGGGGTCAGTCTAAAAGGCTAAGGACAGCAAAGCCAGTCCAGCTGCAATCCTGTGCTTCCCGGCTAACACCTGCATTTTTGTCTCTTTCCCTTGTGCATCTAAAACTACCTTGGGTGAAGGAGTTAAACCAGCAGAAAATTGAGCCAGCTAACACCTCCTTCCCTGCAAAAGTCAAACTAACCTTCAACAAGTGCCAGTCTCAGTCTGGCACTGCCCCCACCTAAGGTTACTGCAGACGCAGTGGCTCTACAGGAGCCAGACCCGCTCTGGCAGGGTCAACACAGAACTCCTAAACTGAACTCAGTAATCATCAAATTTCACATTCTAACAATGTGGTTTGTTCCCAAAAAATGGTTACTAGATTTTTTTCAGATTTTTTTTCTAATTTCAGATTAAAAATACTCCCTTGGTCTAGCAATTGAAAAATTAAGACTTTTTTTTTTTAGCTTTTATAAAAGCTCTGGGTAAGATTTTAATTTAAGACTTTTTTTTATAGTGTTCTGTAACAGCCTAGCTTACAATGGGGACAAATACATTTTTTAAATTATGGTTTACATGGCAAATGAAGCCAATTTCATATTTCCAGAGTGGTCTCTGTTTACCATAAAAAAGCAAATATCCAGAGTGGTCTCTGTTTACCATAAAAAAGGAAATAATCTTCAAAACATGTGTAATTAAAAGATCAACCTCCCACCACCTTCAGCCTGCGCTGCACCTTTTTTCCTCTTGTACACCCTTTTGCCTCCTCTGTTCCACAGAAGGTGCCCAGCAAAATTATTTATGAGAAATGACAGAATGGTGTATTTTGCCTCATTTATGTTAAACCAAATGCTGATTTTATTTTCAGCATCGTGGTTCCTGGCACTACAAAAGCAAGGTGCTCTGGAGGGGACTTTGGGTCATTTGTCCTGCAGACCCAGCTGTGAGGACAGCTACACCTAGGATGATTCAGTCCAAAAAATTTGTAAAAATTGGATCTGCACACACAGTAAAGGAAGAATTTAAACCGGTTTTGAAGAATTAAGATAAATATCATATTTGACAAAGATGTCAGAAAACAGTAATATGAGTTAACAATGAAGGTGCTTTCAAACAGTCTCTGGGTTTCAAAACCAAGTAAATTAACCCCTAACTCACTAGATTTCTCATTACATTTGTGTGTGTTACACTGCACCAGTAATCACGCTTGCGAAGTAGTGTCTGACACCCTGGTTTAACAGATTTGAAAAATCAATTTTCATGTACATCTGTAACTGCTTCGTAGAAAAAAAAAAGCCCTTAACCAAACCCACCCCATAAAGAGCAGCCCCACGCATGCAGCACTGGGTTCAGCTCGGCTCTAAGTCCGTGCTTGCGGATTTGCCCTCATGACGGAGCCGGCACCGCACGGGTCACGGCGCAGCCCGGCCCGGGCGCTGCAGGGAGCGCGGCCCGGCCGGGCCGGGCAGGGCAGGGCAGGGCCGGGCCGGGCCGGGCCGCGGGGCACTCACTGCCCGACGGGGCCGCGTGTGGCCCTGCAGCGCGGCGGCCCGGCCCCCGCGGGGCCCTCCTCCTCCTCCTCCTCCTCCTCCTCCGGGAAGGCGCGGAGGAGGAAGCGGAGGCGGGAGGCATCAGCCCCCACTTCTGCCGGAAACCGCGTCTGTGCCCTGCGCCCGCCGTGCCCGGGACGGCGGGCACGGCCCCAGGCCCGGCCCCGGCCCCGGCCCCCCGCCCCGCGGCCATGGCGGCCCGGCCGGCGCTTACCCATGACCTGCACCCGGCAAATGGCGCAGGTGTCGCACTCCACGTCCCAGCTCCACATGGCCACCGCATTCCACTTCTTCAGCGAGAACATCTTGTCGGGGGCTCCCGCCTTGGAGCCCGCGGAGCCCGGCAGCGAGTGGGGGGCGCCGGGCTCGTCCCCGTCCTCCACATCGGCCATGGCGGAGGGGCGGGGACCGGCGGCCGCGCGGGCGGCAGCGCCACCCTCCGGCGGCGGCGGCGGCGGCAGCGCGGCCCCGCCCGCGGCGCGGGCAGCGGGACGGGCCCGCGGGGCGAGGAGCCCCCGAGCGCGCTGACAGAGCCCTCAGCACTGCTGCTGTTCCGCCGGGACACCCGGCAGGGCCAGGCTGGCATTGCTCATGAAGGATTCGCAGAGCGCAAGTGAAGCAATCACAACCTCACCCGTGGTCTGGGCTGCCGTGAGTGTGGGGGCAAGACCCAGTCTTCCAACTCAACACATTTCCTAGGACTGCTGACACAACAAGTGAAACACCACAGCAGTGGCGTGCACCTTGGCCCCCTTGGTAATAAAGTAAAAAATAAAAATTGTATTAAAGGTTCCATGTTCGCACATTACTCAACTATCAATTCAGAAGCACACTGAACACTGTTAAACAGCATGTTAATAAGACCTTTTAGCCTGGCTGATTCACACTTCTCTTGATCCACACTGTTCAATTCCCTTTGCCAGCTCCACTCCTTTAACTCATCATTCTTTTTTGTCCATCTTAAAAACCATCAGGGCATTTCTGAATTTGAAATACTGGGACTGGATGTAACCCAGAAAGTTTAAATTTTTTTAAAAATAAGGTACATTTCATTTCTGCTATGTAAAATGTCAACTACCTCTAAACAGAGATTAAAAAAAAAAGGAAAAAAAATTCTGTTGGAGTTTTGGGGCTTTTGGATTTATACAATTTGCCTTGTATAACTGATGCAATTCTTCTTCAGTTCTAAGATTCTAAGAGCAAATTATGTCAGAGATTATAATTGTGTTTGAGTGCTGTCAATCCATCACACATGTGCTGTACACCATGCGAAGTCAAATATAAACTCCATTTACATTAGCTGTAAAAGTAGAGCAAATATGACACAGGCAGCTTTGACTCTGTCCATACTGCCTTAGAGAAATAAGTGACAGCTTCCTACCTAAAAAATATTTTCTTGCTATTTTATCAGCTAAAGAGCTGTGTAAGAAAAATTCCAAGCCAGTTTTGAGATGTAGTTCTGGCAGTCTGTAACTCATCTGTCCCCTGCAGCCACACATGACATTAAGGAGGTGACACACGGGAGAGTGGTACAAACCACGACAGCTCTTTCAGAGGGTGTTCCCTATGTACATTGTCACTGTAAATAAAACCCATATTTTTTCAGACTGGACATTTGCTAATCTCATTCACTGAAAACATTCTGAACAGAATATCTAAAAATGAGAACCAAACCAAGTTCCTTTCAGCCCATCAAGGGATTATTCAGCTAGAATTAAAGCCATTTGTGTGCTACAGAATGGGAAAAAAAGAATGTTCCTAATACTAAGTATCCAAATTTGAAATACTGCTTTATACTACATAATCCATAATCAATTAAATTTCTGTCATAATTTCAAAGTAATGATGCAGTGTAATTCATCAATTCTATCTCCATGTAAAAAATACTCATTCAAAGCTCCAAGTGTTTGACACCCAACTTTTTAAACTCCCTAAATGGTCTGTTCATACTCTAACTCCCATTTCAAATTAATATACAGATGCATCTTGGCTTTGTATGAACATTTTCATTTTCTATACACCTTTCTAAATTCTGAATATTGCACAGACAGTGGTTTAAAGGATATAAAATGCCTTGCATAGATTTTCACAAATGGTTTGAAAATGGAGATGTCTGGAAATAGCCTGATTTTGTTCCTTTTTCCCCCCTTTTTTTCTTTCCTCTAACAACTTTTGGACATTTTTGTTTTCTTTTTCCATTTTTTTTTACTCCAAAACATATTGTTATTGTTATTGACTACAAGGATGAGGGTAGCGAGTCCTTCATTAATAAATGTGCAGATGACACTAAGCTGGGAGCGCGTGTTGATCTGTTTGAAGGCAAGATGGCTCTGCAGAGAGACCTGGAACACTTGGGTGGATGGGCAGAGCCCAATAACATGAAGTTTATAAGTCCAAGTGCCAGGGCCTGCATTTTGGCCACAAGAACCCCCTGCAATGTTATAAGCTGGGGACAGTGTGGCTGCACAGTGCCCAGGAGGAAAGGGACCTGGGGGTACTGATGGACAGCCAGCTGAACATGAGCCAGCAGTGTGCCCTGGTGGCCAAGCAGGCCAAGGGCTCCTGCCTGATCAGGAATGGTGTGGCCAGCAGGAGCAGGGAGGTCATTCTCCCCCTGTACTCGGCCCTGCTCAGGTCCCACCTCCAGTGCTGTGTCCAGCTCTGGCCCCTCAGTTTGGGAAGGACGTCGAGACGCTTGAGCGCATCCAGAGGAGGGCAGTGAGGCTGGAGAGGGGCTGGGAACACAAACCCTGTGAGGAATGACTGAGGGAGCTGGGGGTGCTCAGCCTGGAGAAAAGGAGACTTGGAGGTGATCTTATCACTCTCTACACCTTCCTGAAAGGTGGCTGTGGCCAGGTGGGGTTGGTCTCTTTCACAGGCAGCAACTGACAGAACGAGAGGACACAGTCTTAAGCTGCACCAAGGGAAATATATGTTGGATATTAGGAAAAACTTTTTTTACAGGAGTGGTAAAGTACTGGAATGGCCTGCCCAGGGAGGTGGTGGAGCCACCATCCCTAGATGTTTAGAAAAGACTGGATGTGGCTCTCAGTGCCATGGTTTAGTTTAGGCGTTAGGGCATGGGTTGGACTCAATGATCTTGAAGGTCTCTTCCAACCTAGTGATTCTATGAAAATTATTTTTATTAAAAACAAAGCCTTGACAAAAATGTCAGTTTTATGATAATGCAAAGAACAGTTATGTAAGCATGTGTTTATCTTGGCCAACTGATGCATGTACTGGACTGTATTATCCCACTTACTGTTTGTTCTGTCAATAGATTAACATATATCAAAACACTCGAGGACCGTGTCAAGTTATCTGCCAAAGAAAACAATTTAAGCATACTTCTCTACCAAAACTATTTCTTAAACTCTGGTTATCTGTGTCTCTCTCTGCCTCTTTCCCAATGAATATGCTACAGGGGTCTGTTAATGGCCAGTAGGGCTGAGACACAGTGGGGGTGCAAGAGGAAGACAGCACAGGGAACAGTGCTGTATGAGCATACCACCACTTGTGACAAACCCACCTGTAGCAGCTCCTAAGGGTTTACTGAAGCTGCCAGATGCAATTGCCAAAATGGAAAACAGACTTCAATGCTGACAGGTACAGTTTCTGTGAAACAGAAGCATGTAGCAGGCATGCAGAAATATGCAGAAATCACAACAGGAGTTAGGGAAACAATGTATTAGTGGAATAAACTGCATGCTTTTGCACTGGGAGGATCTCACTGGATGGGAAGAAATCACACAAATATATTGCTGCACAGCATAGCAAAGGGATCCCCATATTCCTATAACTCTATGTGATTTGGCATGAACTTCATAAAAGTCCAGGAATGAGCTCAAAGACTGAGAAGTAGCAATAATTCCAATTCTTAAGTGCATTGTGCTTCACTCTTCAAGTGAAACAAAAGAACATTAATGACACATAATATACAGAAGGGAAATCCTTATAGAAGTTATGAAAAAAATCCCCTTAACTTCTGCACAGGAACCTCTCTGCTTTAATGGAAAACCCTGTGTCACAAGAGACTAAAGAGATCCTGACTCTGCTGAGCTGCTTTAATCGAGTCTAAACCCTTGGAACTTCTCCAATCTTCACACAACACCCTAGCTCATCCATCTTTCCTTCTGCAACAGAGACTAAAAACCAGTGACACAAAGACTCCTGACTGCTTCATGGAATTCTATACTGTGTTTTTGTTTGCTAATTGTCTTACTCTGGAGTAAAACTCAGCTATTACTATTACCTCTGAACAGTGCTGATTTTCAGGTTAGATGTCTATCTCATATCCATTCTTTAATTTAGAAAACCTATGAAGATAAAATTTTCCGTATTTTAACTGTAGTTAGCTGCTTGAGAATGGACCTGCATGCTGAATTGAAACCTGGAAACCAAATTATGTTGTTCTGTTGTTGTGCAAGGGCACAGCCCCCATCTATTTTGAAATATAAACACTTCCTATAAATTTGTGAGGTACTACCGTCTGCCTTACTATTTTTTAAATCCCTCTGATATTTGGATCCTGCCTAGTATCAGGATGGACCCCAAAAAAGCCACTCTTAGCAAATCCAGCCCTCCAATCCACACCAGACCTCCCCTCCTCAAAAAAAACCAAAAAACAAAAAACAAACAAAAAACCCCCCAAAAATCCCTAAAACCGCAAACAGAAAATAAAAACACTACCAAGAGAAGCCATGTAACTTGCCTATAGAAACTCCCTTTACTCACATATTTAAATTACTGGAAGATGTTGCACAAGGGAACTTTATCTTCTCATTATTCACCTTTGCAGATGTTATATCCTGTGTACCATGTCACAACTCATTTTTTTACCTTGACCTACTTTTCTATTTTTAGATTTTGGCCAAGGTAGTGACAAAAATATGCATTTAAAATTCAAGTATATATAAAAATAATAATAACAAACTGTTATAAATGTCACATCATGACAGAATGGAAGAACTCAGCTGGAATATAAATTAACTACTCAGGAGAAAACTAGATGAATTATTTTCGTTGTCACAGAAATCATTGTTTTGTGTTTCAAAATGTTCTATCTTTCCTCTGGAACTTTTCAAATTTGCATTGCTATACAAAGCATAGTGCCTTCTGTTACCCAGTATGGGGAGACCGAAATTGTAGATACTTCCCCTTCTTTCATTGAGTACTTTAAAGGTCTGTGGATGACAGCTGCAGCTAATTGTCAGGTCTGTATTACTGCATTACTCTGGATCACTTGATTCTTAAAGGGGAGTTTCCTTCTTACTCATTTTGTCTCTGCTCCCTGCTTTTTCCAGGCTTGTTTCTTGTCCCAGCGAGGGCTGAGCTGAACCCGGGAGCTCCAGCTGAGCTCTCAGCAGCAGCTGCAGTGAGTGACCCTCAGCAGCGCTGCCTTTGGAGCCTCTGCAGCCCAGGACA